GCCGCCTTAATTGTCAAAAAATTGCAATTTTAAAATTTGTGTTCGGGTGATGCAATACTTTTGACCGCCACTGTATGGTTAGTTTATTTCAGATGTGGACATGATATGCATAGACAGCTAGCTTTCTTTTGAGTTAAAGCTCAAGAAATTCCTTTAGATTCGTTCTCCAATAATATTTTATTAATTAGATGCATTAGTTTTATTAATAAAGTATTTTCTATGTACATGCATAATTTTTTATAAATTTCTTGAAATCATTGATCTTATTATTTTTGTTTTTAGTTGCGAAGTTAAAATTGAAATATTTGACCGATATAAAACTTTTAACAGTGAAGAAATAATTTGTAACTTAACCGTCAATTTTAATCTTCTTTTTTGGTCGCTAAAACGAGAACAATGTTACTTATGAGTAAAGAAAGATCACAGTTAACATATGAACTTTTTTTATAATATCATCAAACCTCCATATCGATTTCTTTTTTATCTACACGTTTCACTGCATTCAATACATTAATCCCAAGACTTGAAAAGAAACATTCTGCATTGGAAGAATCAATTACAATTAACAGTTCCTTCACTAGACAAATTGATGAAGATCAAAGCGATTAAATTGACAAGCAGGTAAAATTATAGAAAACAAACAACAAAAAAGTAAATACCTTCTGGGTTATTAGCAGTTCCCGGTCTTATTGGTCGAACCCGCTCTTTGCGTATGTAGTGACTTTGCATACTAAATTTGGCAGGATAAACTACCAAAAAACGGATCCATGAGAGACCGTGCTCGTATGCCCTATGATATTTAGTTCTTAAGCAATTGATCACTTTTTCTTTCAGTTCAATTTTCCATTGGGGTATTCGAAATGGATCATCTCCATGAGGGTAAAAGCAGTTCGGATCTGTCGCAAATATAGCATTACTGGGTGGGCTACTTATCCACAATTTTGCCTGGAGAAAAAGGGGAACCTCAACAATTCCATCAGGAGTTTCGAAATTAATTATGCATACTAAATCTGGACCGGCATCCCTCTCTGGCATAAAGAATGCTGTAGATGGATTATCAAGAAACTTGAATAGATTAGATTCCTTCATATCACCCTTTGAGCAAAGTATGGCTGAGTCTTTATGGTTACGAATAGTTGATTTATAAGAGAGTAATTGTTTTATATTATCGATATCCTTAATGCTAGTAAAGAAATCATTATTCATGCAAATCTTTTCATTGAAAAATTTCTCAAGTGAAATAGTCAAGTAAGGCTCAAAAAGAAAACCCGCACATGATGCATTATTATGTACTTTACATAGATCTTGCAAAAGCTTCTCCTCAATTTCATTACGATCATGACAATCTTTCTCAACATATTCCATAAACGCCAAAAAGGGAATCGTTTCTTGTATTTGCACTTCAATAACATCCTTTCGAAAAATATCTTTATCAGATGCTAGGTGTTTATAATCGCAAAGCTGAGCAAATCCATATTGAACCATTTCGATAACTCCTCCTCCTCTCACTACCATTGTAGAATCAGAAAACATGCTAAGAGTCGCGATATCCATTACTTTGTTCCATACTTCTTTATCTTCACGTAATTTAGGGAAACAACTATCCTTAAAGGTTGAAATTATGAAATCTTTTGCATCGCGTTGCCACTTTTCCACATTTTCATTCACATTACGAGACATTGAGGATGTATCTAATAAAGATTTATTCAGAAACTGAACTAAAAATCTTCGGCGACCCCGAAAAATATTGAAGATGATTTTCATTGATTCATCATTTAGTGGTAAAAAGCGCTGAATATAATTACACATCTCACTATTTTCGTAAAACCCATCGTGTACGAAAAAAAAATCCTCGAATGACGGACCAATTGGTTTAGCAATAGTAGAGGAAGCAAAATTCTTAATGTCTTCAAAGCTCATTCCCGTCCCTGACAGCATAAGACATAACTTCATTGTAGTGAGTTTGAGTACCATCCGAAGCAAGATAACAAAGAATGGTCGTAACTTATTTCCAGGATTTGTTGAGGGAAACATTTTCTCGTACTTCTCGATGGACGATTGCGATTCATCAATTGCAATTGGTAATTGTTCTTGCCCAGGGACGAAACTTTGGAATCTCTTGATAAATTCAGTGACAAGTTCATCCTGATATAATGGATCTAAATTGCGAAAATCACTTGCAATAAAAATCCAGAAGTCTTCATCATGAATTTGCAATGGTAAAAGTTGCATTAGAAGCCATTGCTTCGGTGTAAAATTTGTAGAATTGCTACTTCTATGGAACTCTAAAAGCTTGGTTAAAATGAATAATCGGCTAAGAAGCATGGCACGAGTGTATATAAGTGCTATATTACTATTTTCTTGAGGTTTGTTAGAAACTAATTTAAAGCCCAAATCCTCGATAGTTTTATCCATGTCTCGAGAGCCAAAGTTATAGTTTTTGGAACCATTTCTGGTGTTCAATGAGAAGTAAATTCCATATGCGCTACAAAATAACTCATATAAAGAACGAGTTTTTCCAGATCTAGAACAAAAAAGGGAAATCATTTCATTTGCCTTTTCATTTAAGCCATCTTGAATTGCAATGATTCTTATTCTTACCCGGAAGTACCCATTAAGAAGAGCCAACGTTGTGTCATAACCTTGTTAAGAAGTGTAGAAAGCATATTTTCAGGGATGTAACCTTCTTTGTTGTCAGACGGTAATGAATGCAAAAGGAACGAAGGTTTTCCTTTAATCACAGGAATTCCGGATTCATTAATACTATCTTTATATATGTGGTCTGAAACTCTAAATTCTTCCAGTTCGATTTTTTTGACCAGTTTGTCTTTCAATTTTGTCCAGTGAGACTCCGCCTTTCTCAATACTTCCTCTATGCTTTCAAATACTTTTGATGAAATAAGCTTTGTTAGAAAGTTTTTTGACACCGTTCCAAACCAATAGATACTCGAAGTTATTTAACGAGAAATACAAGAAATACAGTACCTTGCGTAATGCCTTGCGAAACACCTGCTTTAACGCGGAAAAAAAATGACATTAGATCAAACTCGATGAGATAACGCGAATTTCTTGTTCGAGAGGTAAACCATTGGGAGACACTTACCAGTGGTGGCGGGCAGTGGTGGTTGCGCGATGATACGGATGTTTTTCAAGTCACTACACACAAAAATGTCACCAACATTACCAAATGGAGTCAACTTTACTCCTCCAAGCTCTTCAATAGTAGTATTTTCATCACTTATATCATGAGATCTGCTTTCAAGTGTTTTCAGTTTAGCGTTTTCTGTGACAGGAATATTCACCTTCCATAGATACAGGTCGCTGGGATCAAAACCTTTGTTCTCAAACTTGTTCTTTCTCTTTTCATAGATTATTTCCTTGAGTTTTGAAATACTGATTCCTGCCGGGCCTTCAACTTGAAAGGAGTTCCCAACTTCGGTACCCACCACAAAACAAAATGCCATGATATCGGTGGTATGCCTGTAAACGCGAAAATCGAGAGTTAAAACAGGGTTTAAAACAGATTTTCAGTAAATACAAATAAGACCTTGTTGGAGGACTATCTAAAGGACTATTTAACGGGCCTTTCGTTCCATTCATTTTGTATATAAATAACAGTTTTCTGTTTACATAATATCTCAGTGTTTCGAAGAAAAATACTATGCGTACGAAAACTTACCAAGTTTATGCTAGCTCATGCATATTCTAGCTAGGGATGTTAAGGTCTGTGACCAGACCGGTCTGACTCTGGTTTGATCATAGAACCGGTTTCGGTTCGATTTGAGGATCAAATCGAACTGAAACTGAAC